CCAGTGTCTTTGCTAGCTTACAAAGAAGTCCTCACCTCATGCAGTGGGTGAGCACAGGATGAATCCAGACCAGGATTTGACAGTCTCAGGGGCTGAAGTCCAAAGACACTCAGATGTTCAGCAGGGGCAGGTTTGTAACAGCAAAATCAGAATTCTCATTAAGAAAACCCGGGATCCCGACACACACCTGAGTAGATGTTCCTGAGACTCAGACCTCCCCAGACTTCTTCTGAATCTTCTGAGTCTGAAGAAGTGACCTCAGCCTCTCCATTAGGAACTATCAACTCTCACCACCGGCAGCAAAACAGAAGGAAAACACAGACGTCTTCCTCCCATGAGACAACGTATGTCTACCTCAGGAGATGTCCCCAGTTCTGCTTCTGGCCCTCCCGCCTATAAAAGAGTTAGATCACAGCCAGGGACATGTTAGGTCTGGTAAGAGAGGAAATGGACATTACTACCAAAGCAGCTGTGTACCTAGATAGCACATAAGCAGGACAGGGAGATAAATCTAGACCAGGAGAGCCAGAAATAAGACTGAGTGTATCAGAATTTGCTGACTTGCTGCACCTCCTCAGAACACAAGACATAGCATTTTGGTAAGGATCCCAGAAGACGGTGCAAAGTCACTGCTAAGGTGACTCCAAGAAACCGGAAACCAGCAATGACCCACAATGTCTAGAGCTGAAATGCCTAAATTGCAGAGACAGAATTCTGAGGAAGGCATTAAAGGCTCAGAAAACTGGGCAGGCTGGAATGGACATATTCTGTGAGGCCAGAAGATCCACCAGGGATTATGGTCCACGGAAGGACCCAGAGGACCCCAAGTCACCACGGCCATCAGAAATACACTGGTCAGAATAGAACCAAAAGCACTAAGAAAAAAATTCAGCGGCCCTCCTCTGCGAGCCAGGGTGCATATAAAGAGCACGTCGGGGCACTTGACTGGCTTAGTTGGTAGAACATCCAACTCCTGATTTTGGCTCAGGTCATGATCTCGGGCTCTCCTAGGATCAAGACCCACATCAGGCTCCGTGCTCAGCACAGAGTCTGCTTGTCCCTCTCCCTCTGCTCCCCCCCCACCCCCTGCTCTGGTTCATTCTTTCTAAGATAAATGGATAAATCTAAAAAAAAAAAAAAAAGCATGCCATAGACATTAGCTTGCTGAAAGGAATGGGCATAATAGCATCTTAAACTAATACTAAATATACCCTAAGAACCCACTATTCAACCTGTGTCGCAAATAGTTAAGGTCCATCTCTCCATCACCTGTGGAAACAAACCGAACTTCTCACTACAAATGGAAATTCTCTGGAACTTATCATGGGGATTCCTCATTAACATACCTTGGCCAAACCCTGGAGAGAACATTCAGTCTTGACAAAAAGTTCACCAACAAAACTATATGCCTTCCTGCTTCCCAACATTTAAAGCTTCTTTCTGCCTACGGCTACTATACCAGATGCTGTGAACCTCAGTTCAGGACAGGTGAGAGATGAGGTCTACATGATAATAAAGCAGAGATGGTTTATCCCAGAAAATGTGGAAGTAAGTGGTACAGCTTTAGGGGGGAAAGTCTCAGCAAGGAAACAGGTACAAATTTAGACAAAGAGGTAGAGAGGATGATTTTCGAAGGAGGGGAGTTCGTCACAGAATTGAGGCAAAATGGATGTGTCCATCTTCACATCCTTCTTTGCCTGATTAATTCCTACCTATCCTATAAGAGCCACGTTAGCAGCCTTGCCTTAAGAAGAGCTTTCCCTGTTCTTCACATCCCCCAAATCTTGACTTCAGGCTGTCACCACAGCAACTATGACAGAATGCATCCTTTTCTGTTATAATTGATTTTATAGAGCTATAATTCACATACCATAAAATTCAAACTTTTAAGGTGTGGGATTCAATGTTCTCGGTATATTTACAAGTTGTGCAATCCTCTCCAAGTCTGGAATATTTCAACACCCCAAAGGAAGCCCCATACCCATTAGCAGTCATTCTCCATTCACCCTTCCTCCCAGCCCTTGGCAACCACAAGTCCACTTTCTGTCTCCATGCATTTGCCCACTTTGGACATTTTGTACAAACAGAACTATACAATATGTGGTTCTTTTGTCTGCCTTCTTTCCCTTAGCCTAATGCTGTCAAGTTCTATCTATGTGGTAGCAGGTGATAATATGTACTTCTCTCCTTTTCGTGGCTAAATCCTATTCCACTGTGTCTGTATGCCACCTTTTTTTTTTACCCATTCGTCAGGTGATAGACATTTGGATTCTTTCCACTTTATGGTGACTATAAATAACGCTGCTATGAACACGGGTGAACAAGTTTTCAAGTGGACCTATGTTTTCAGTTCTCTTGGATGTATGCCTAGGAATGGAATTGCTGGGTCATATGGGAACTCTGCGTTCAACTTTTTGAAGAACTGCCGAACTGTTTTCTATTTTATATTCCCACCGGCAATGTAACTGTCTTTCATTTATCTAGCCCTCAAATTTCTTGAGGGCAGGGACTCTCTTATGTTCTGCCATATCCCCAGCATTTAGCACACTGCCTAATGCAATATGGTTGTGTATGGGCATTTGTAAAATGAATGACTAAATTAAAAGCACAATAATTTTTTTCACCTTATGCCTTCTTTTGGAGAGATACTTACCAAAATACCACTTCCTCACAATGCTCCCTCCCAATACCTTTAACTTTCTTCTCTCCAGACTTCTTCACCTCTGAAACTAATCTAAGTAAATAACATACCAGTGCTTCTTGAGATGGGTGCTGTACGGCCACCAGACCAGAGGATTGGGATCTACAAAGGACTCCTCACCTGCACATTAGAGAAGTTAATAAAATATAATCTGATGGTAGAATCAAGTGTTTCTTGTTTCCAAGTTTCCAATTTTCCAACTGGCAGAAAGGCAGATAATTCATGTATATTTTCAAAGTCATTCTCCTGCAAATATAGGCCCTAGACGTATTTGACTCTAGGTCTCCCTCTGCCGGCCCTGCTCTCAATAACACTACCATAGACCAGGAAGGGAAGGGAGCAAAGTGACTGCCACATGGGACCAGAGGCAACATATGGGGTCCATCCCATTACAAAGGCAGCCAGACAAACTCTGCAGATGAAAGGGCCTTCCAATTCTAGCAGCTCTGGGTGGGGATTAGCCTCCCATGACTGGTACTTAAGTAGCCTGATGACTTCCAGCTCTGGCCATTTAAAGAGACTATTGCATAGAGCAAATACTCACTTTGATCCTCAAACACAAAGTGGACATGATGCGCACTTACACTTTAAACATGACCAACTTCTCTTGTATGAATTGGACAAGTCTCTAATAAAATATGAATATACATTAATGTCCTGCAAAATCTCACAAAAATCTCTCCACTTACGCTCTTGATAAACATTTACTGGTACGGAAAGAGAAGACTCCCCTGATGTTTTATATAAGACACATCACATTGTTCCCATAGACTTGGCATCATTTCAGTTTTTTTAAGAACAGAAGTCGTGTATCACTATGTTGAATAAATTCTCAAACTTTTGTATAAAGGACCTGCAATAAGCAGAACACCCACCCCAAGGATGCCCATGCCCTAATTCCTAGAACCTGCAAACCTGTTACCTTACCTAGAAAAAGGGACTCTGCAGATGTAATGAAGGTTATAGACCCTAAAATAAGGAGATGATTGTGATAATCTAGACGGACTCGGTGTGACCACATGAGCCCTTAAAAGGAGAGGTCTTTCTCGGGCTAAAGTCAGGAAAGATGCTGCAGAAGGAGAAGTCAGAGAAATTTGAAGGGTGAGAGAATTTTGAACTCCTCCTGCTGAAAGTGGACCACATGGAAAGCATGAGGACAGACTACCCACGCCCAGGCCCCAAACTGACAGTGGACAAGGAAATGGGAACCTCAGTTCCATAATCACAAGCAACTGAGTCTGGCCAGTAACCTGAATGACTGTGGAAGCAGACTCATCCTCAAAGTCTCCAGACCATGACTTGGTCCAGCCAACACCCAGATTTCAACCTTGTGGTGTACTGAGCAGAGGCCCCAGCTGAGCCACTGTCCTCTTGACTTCTAACCCAAAGAACTATGAATAAATACATTCATGTTGTTTGAAGCCACTGAGTTTGTAGTACTGTGTTATGGCAGCATCAGATTACTAATATCTTACCAAATGTCAGTATATTAAATTCCAAAATTCCATGGTAATGAAGCACAATAACCACTAGAACAATCAATTCAAATTGCACACCGCTGGAACCAGTTCCCATTTCACTACCAAAACATTATTTGTTATGATAAATACATGAGAGATTTCTACTCATAATTATAGGGTAGTTTTTAAAATTATATCTAAGAATAATATGCCAATTTCTAAGTAATTGTCCTCTTCAACATGCACAGCTTTAGCATTCCTTTTTAAAAAGTAAACAGATAATTGCTTTGTCACACCTTTCATACTGGCTTATCCATTGATAAGGTTCACTTTAGGTAAACATCTCTTTCATAATATATCTAACATATTTAATTAGATTCCTAGATCATGTACCCAGTATTAGTCACATTAACAAAAGTCAGTGATCTTTAATAAAGTTGAATGAAATAATGTTTTCAGAAACGTAAGTACATAAATGATGTCAAAGACTTATAGGTCTCAGAAGTACAAAGAATTCTAAGGCAAAAGTCACTTATATTTTTAGTATACAAATACATAAAGCCAATAACACTGACTTACTTTTTAATAAGACTTTATTAGTCTAATGACAGTATTTTGGTGTTTACGTTTCTAAATTCATAGCTTCAAGTTGCATGTGACTTCTTGCAAGCGCATCACAGTTCCTGCAGTTCCTGACCTGAAGAACACGTGCTTGGGATATTTCAAGTTCTACCTGCTCCAGCCAATGTTTCTAAATTACAATAGTGCCAATGAAATTGGACTTTTCCGGAGACTCTACACTATGATATAAAATCTAGATTAGGAACACGGACACTTACTTTTTCTGAGTTCTTTCAGCCAGCCTTGCGATCTCTATCGCTGCCTTCCTTGCTTCAAAATCTTCCCTTTTTACCACCTCTCCAGTCCCTCGGTAGCCTAGCTCCACCAACTGGCGGGCCAGGCTTTCATCCTAAAGGAAACAATAAATTTTAAGATTTGTGCATGAATTAGACATCTTAGTTTTTATTTGATGTATACCGAGTAGCTGTTTTAAATGAAAAATCAAATTTATTTTTTAAATATGAGACATGTGAGATATGAAAACTTAGAATTCTTTCTAATGATACTTTCATCAACATGGATTGTCACCCTTTTCCCACAGATGTACAATGAAGATAAAAAGGAAACATCAGTCACTAAATTTTCTCTAAGGGATTAAAGGACAAAAGTCTGTTGTGTTTTTAAACCATTTATGAGAGCAGCTGTAGATAATTAATAGAGTATCTTTAAAACAATAAAACTGAGACAATAGTTCTCATACAAGAAAGACTTTTAAAAAAACCACTTGCACAAGAAGAGAATTGGGTTCCTCCCATAAAGTGCAACATTTCAGAGACTTACTTCCTTGAAGTCAATGAACTGATGACACAGAGCATTAAAACTTCAAATACAAAATAAAGAGCAGATGAATTTCCTATTTAATTGGAAAGATATTGTTTCCATATAACGTTGGTACCAATAAAAACAGCAAAGAAGAAACCCAGAAAGATGACAACAAAAAAGCTTCAAGCTGAAAAAAATTTTCCCACAATCCTTTAGCCCTTTCATATTTCAGCTACTTTAAGAAATGTCTCACACTTTTGTGTCGCTTGCATAGCATATTCAAAAAAGAATACTGTTTCCCCATAATCTGAAGAGGTGTCATTTTATGTTAAGTTACTGATACAAAGGCTAAAGTATTACATAAAAATATGTATATATTAATAATGTTCTTTATATTATCATCTTGGTTAAAATGAAATAAGCATACATTTTACTGTTAGATACTTTATACATCACTGTGGAATGCAAGAACCACCTGACAGGAAGAAAAAAAAAAAAAAAAAAAAACCACCACCTGACAGGATTAAATGAGAAAATGTAAGAGGCCCGGTTAACAATTGATTCAGCCCTTAGAGGCTGGTTTAAAATCTAAACCAGCAGAAGAAAACATTTAGACATTATCAGCCTAGAAAACTTGCTACTTTCCTTTGCTAAACATTAAAAGCAAACACAGTTGACTGTTAAACAGCAACAGTCTAAACTGGACAGGTCCACTTACACACATTTTTTTCTCAATAAATATACTGGAAAATTATTTAGAGATTTGCAGCAATTTTAAAAACTCACAAATGAATTGTGGAGCCTAAAAAGAGTGGAAGAATTATGAAAAAGTTACCTGTGTCATAAATGCATAAAATACATGTAGATACTAGTCTATTTTATCATTTACTACCCTAAAAGATACACAAATCTATGGTAAAACATTAAAGTTCATCAACACTTACAGACCATACACCATCTTTTCATCCTGATGTCAGAAATACCCATAACATCTACAGTGGTCTGTATCCTATAAGACAATAGTGATATAGGTACAGACAGACGACTTGTCTTATCAAGAGTTGATGTAAACTTTAAGTTTAGATAAACAACAGTCCAGTACTGTAAATGTGTTTTCTCTTCCTTGTGATTTTCTTTCTTTTAAAATTTTATATATTTATGTGAAAGAGAAAAAGAGAGAGAGACCGTGAGCAGGGTAGGGGCAGAGGCAGAGGGAGAAACAGACTCCACAATGAGCAGGGCTCTGTTCCAGGACCCTAGGCCATGGCCTGAGCTCAAGGCAGCGGTTAACAGACTGAGCCACCCAGGTCCCTCTGTATGATGTTCTTAATAACACCACCTTTTCTCCAGCTTACTTGATTGTAAGAATATAGCACACAATACACGTGATATACAAAACACGCACGTTTCATGTTCTCTCCTCAGCTGTTTATGTTCTCGGTATGACCACTGGTCAGCAGCAGGCCACTGACAGTTAAGTTCTGGGGGACTCAAAAGTTCTCTACAGATTTTTAACTGCATGGGGATCGGTGCCCCTAATCCCCTGTTGTTCAATGGAACTCCATGTAGTAATGGGGATGCATTTGCCAAGCTAATACAGTGCAAACCACCAAGCTTGGGAGGGCTGTGGGCCTTTTTTTCTGTCTTTTCCCTGCTTATTAGACTTGTTATTGCTCGGCTCTTTCGTGAGAACCACAAAACTAAGCAAATGCCTCCACCTAGTGGAATTAATATTTAATAGAAAAAAACAGTCGAGATTTTGGATTTGGTTTACAGAAGAGAGATGATTTGAGTGTAAGTTTACTTAAGTATATGCTAAAAGTGAGCAAATGGGAACAACTCTCAGCTAAACTCTGACGCTGTGTGGTTTTTCCAGAAGAACATAAAGGACTCATAGTCAACACAATATTTGACATAGTAAAGCCCACTAAAAAGTTGCTCTTTTAATTTCATATATGGCATGAATTGTGCATTTCTGAGCACCTTACCTGGGCCACAAAAAATCATCCGGATAGCTCTGCACTCATCTACACTAACGTGCAGTGTGACAGAGAGCAAGACCTACTGAGAAAACAAGTGGAAAGCAGACGTTGGTTGTCTCACCAACCTCTACCACGAGGAGAATCCTAAGTGATCTGTCCACTTTAAATGGTCAATCATCTCTAAAGAAATTATCCTTAAAGAAACCTAAGAAATAAAACATTTTTACTTATTCACATATTTAGCACTTCTGATGTTTTATTCCTTTGTGTAGGTCCATGTTTCTTGCTGATATGATTTTCCTTCTGCCTAAAAATCTCTTAACATTTCTTGTGGTGTAGGTCTGCCAACAACTACCTACCTTGCCTTTTGTTTGACAGAAAAAATGGATTTCACCTTAATTTTTGAAAGACGTTTTTGCTGGGTTGGTTAGTGTTCCAGGTTGACTTTTGAGCTTTCAACACTTTAAAGATGTCACCCCATTGCCTCATGCCTCATACTACCTCTTAGAGGTGTTTAATCTTTCCTGTCTGTTTTCTTTTATATAATGTGTCATGTCATTTTAGATTCTTTTAAGATTTTCACTTTATTACTGTTTTCAGCAATTCTAAGATAGTCCTTGGTTTGGTTTCTTTGTGTTTATGCTGCTGGAATGTGCTGTACTCCTTGGCTCTGTGGATTTATAGTTTTCACAAAATCTGGAAACTTCTTAGGCGTTATTTTTTCAAATATCTTCTATTCCCTACTTCCCTCTGACCCTTCTGGGATTCCACTTACATTTTTTGGAAGGGCAAAAAGATTATCATTTCCTGTAAAACTCTAATGGTTTTGACTATAACAGTTCATCTTAGTAAAAACAGGTGATCAGCCATGATAATCCAAGCATATAAAGAGAAGGCAGTAATCTTGCATTAATTGTCAGTGCTTCTTCCCTTATGTGAACATGAGTCACTGACTTTTGGAAGCCAGCAGTTTGGAGCAGGTTAACTATAAAGAGGCATCATGCACAGCAGAACCCAGACATGGCTCGCCCTTAAAGAGAAGGCTTCCTTGCTGCCCATGAACCATAAAACATGTGGCAAGGCAGAGGCCACCCAAGTGGGCAGCAAATGTCTGTACAAGACTTAATTCTGACTACACGACTCTTCTTCTGGGACAGACATTAGACAGCTCTCAGCTGCTGGAACAGAGGTTTGACCCCAAGGATGTGCAACGCAACAGTGCCTTCCAGTTGCTGTGGCCCTGGACTTTGCAGAGTTGGACTGGGACTCCAGGGTTCCATCCTAGAAGGCCACAAAGCTCCCCAGGGTCATACTGATTTCTGGAAGGCTACAGAATTCACTCAATTCACTCCCCAAACAAATTTGGGGCTGTACTGTCCCCAAGTCTTTGGGCCAGAGCCCATGCCCGCCCCCAGCAGCCCTGGAGCACAGTGCCTCCCACACTGGTCCTCTAGTGGGGTGAGGGTGAGGGGTAGAGGAAGACTGGAATTTGGTGTTATGTGGTGTGAGCCAGACTCCTAACAGGTGAGTCCAGAACAAGAGGCAGCCAGCATCTGGAGCACCGAGGTACTTCTCATCGGAAGGAGAGAGAGAAACAGAGAAAGAAAGAAGGAAGGGAGGAAGGAAGGGAAGGAGGGGGGGAGGGAGAAAGGGGAAGGGGAGGAGGGGAAGAGGGAAGAAGGAAGGTAGGTAGGCAGGAAAGAGGGAAGGAAGAAAGGAGGAAGGAAGGGCAAGAAGGAGGGAAGGGGAGGAGGGGAGAAAGGAAGAAGGGAGGGAGGAAAGAAGGAAGGGTGGGTAGGTCTATGGCCACTAGAACACTTGATTTTGCCCACAGGCTACTGAAGCTGCCTTAGCTTTTGTGTCTTTTGTTATTATGTTGTATATTGCTGGAAAAGAGTTATTATTGTAGTTCAGTCTTAGATTTCATCGACTAAACTCACTGATTTGTTCTAATAGGGTTCCAGTTTAATTTTCTTGCATTCTCATGGCAGATAATCATACTGCCTTTCTAATAATATTCCGGCTTCTTCCATGTATTTATGACATTTTTCTTTCATTGTAGCATTGTTGTGGTCAGACTACCAATAAAAAGTTACGAGTACTCACACTTTTATCATGTTTCTATTCCAGTGCTAAACTTTCAAATGTTTAACCATTGATTATGAGGTTTACAAGTGTTTGCTATGTATTCTTCATCAAGTTATGACATGAGTTTAGAATTTTATCCTATGCTTTTTCTACGTCTATGGAGATTATATATATATATATATTTTTTTTTTTTAAATTTAATGTCATGGGAAAATTTGCTCAAGCTACAAAATCAGAAAAGACCAGTAGGTGGTTTTAGAAGTCCCTGATTCCCCCCACAGAAAGACTATTTCTCACTCCCATTTGAATGCTAAATTACCTACTTTAGTGAGTCCAGGCGGGAAACAGATGACACATGTAAATGGAGTAACTAAGCAAATTGAGTGGCTGAGTTAATTAACAAAGGTATAGACAGGGTTAAGAGAAATCCTAGAGAGATAATGAAGGCCCCTGCCCCTAGCTAGGGCAATAAGTTATTAACAGCCACCAACCAGTCCAAATGAGGTAAGAGGAGGGA